TTGACAGACCGATTGCTGCAGCAGGAAAAGGCCGCAGGGCCTGTTAATACTGTTGACTTATCAAACTTGGCACTTACAGTAGTAGTCATAGCAACAGTTGCCATAGTATTCACAAGAGCTTGAGCAGGAGCAGCTTCCCATGTTCCGGCCACAGTTGTAACGACATGACGAGCTTGGATAAGTTGTATAATAGCAGTAAGCTACGTGATGGAAAAAGAAGAATAAAGTGATTGACTTGCTGCATAATTTCTAATACACATGCTGCTTGTTTGCAATTGGACATTGCTGTTTCATTCTCAGCACATTGTTAGACCAGAATTTGACAGACCGATTGCTCTGCAGCAGGAAAAGGCCGCAGGGCCTGTTAATACTGTTGACTTATCAAACTTGGCACTTACAGTAGTAGTCATAGCAACAGTTGCCATAGTATTCACAAGAGCTTGAGCAGGAGCAGCTTCCCATGTTCCGGCCACAGTTGTAACGACATGACGGCTGGGCTGAGAGATGCAGGTTGACGTTATCGTTACATCACAGGTACTTGGGAACCTTCACATATCGGGTATTTTAATATGCATTACCTTTAGTTTGAGGGTCTTTGTTTCTCGGAGTAGGTGCTGAGCAGTAAGCTACATGATGGCAAAAGAAGAATAAAGTGATTATCGATCTACTGTATAATTTCTAATACACATGCTGCTTGTTTTGCAAACTTAAACAAAAACTGACATTATTGTTTCATTCTCAGCACAGTGTTACACCAGAACTTGACAGACTGAATGCATCAGCAGGCTGCAGAGCCTGTTAATACTGTTGATATGTTAGACTTGGCACTTGTAGTCATAGCAACAGTCACCATAGTATTGATGAGCAGCTTCCCATATGCCTGCCTCAGATGTAACGACATGTATAGATGTTGTTAGGCAGCAATCAAGCTCTGAACCTGGAGTGACAAAGCATTTTCCTTTGCTGCCCCAACCCACTGGAACTCACTGCCCAGGGACATCAGAAACTCTCCCACACTAAATACTTTGAAATAAATTATTTTAATATTTTGGACATTTCTCTGACTTTAGCTTTTTTGTGAATTATTGAATATTTTAATCTCTTTGCAAATTTAAATTGTGAAAATTTGGTAGAACTGCTAATAAGAGGCACCAACCAGACAACACTTTAATAACCCAAAGTATCACAAAATGGAAACCTTAAGTAACACTTGATTTTAAATCCTATAAAATTGAATTCAAGTACACTACTTGAGTAAATGTACTTGGCTTCCACCACTGCTTACCTTCATAGTCTGGACAACAGTTCCCTCTGGATCCACAGCTTGAAGAGCAGGAGCATTGCCCAACCTGTTTGCCACAGTTGTATCTGCAGGAATCTCTGGCTGCAGAAAGAAAAGAGGAGATGTAACAGGAAGAGAAGTTTCAACACATTCTGTGACTGAGCACAGAAGCATATTATAGTAATTATTCTGATCATCAAAAATCTTTTCACCTTTAATATGCCAATTAAATACATCTAATTCACTATGACTGTTAACTTAAACTTCTAAAAGCAACAACGTATTAAACCATAGTAAGGCAAACAACAATTTTTATGTATTTTAGACGATTAAAACTACAGTGGCATGATTCTTTTTAATTTGGTGGCAGTTTTTGTACATGCTGTTGGAGTCATTGCTTCAGTGGTCTTGTTATCAGCACCTGATGGATTATGAGAAAAATAAACAGAACAAAAGGTCACATAGAGTGGACATGCCTTAACACCTAGTGACAGCACAGGAAACGACAGCCAAAAACCTTTTCATGAAAACTAAATATAAGAAACTAATACACTGACTGTTTCCAACTAATGCTCAGTCTACTGTTGCTCGTCACAAAATTTGTGAGTAAAAAAGAAAATGATCAAAAGCAAAGAGACAAACACAACAGTAAGAAAACAGTGATCAATACCTCGCACTCCATGTGTGGCGATCACACTGCAAAGAACGAACAGAGTCCACATGCTTCACCTTTTGTTCACCTTCTAACCTGCTTCACATGCTGAATATGACAGCTTATATAGGCGACCCAGCTGCATGCTTTGACACAATGTGCCAAGGTATAAGGCCATAAAGTTTCTGATATCATGAAATGTGATGGTGATAAATGACTCGAGTCATGCATGAGAAGTACACACCTGGTTAACTATCATAAAGTCTACACCAGGATTCTTCACTTCTAGCTTCAGGATGTGTTTCAAGTGTTTTTCTTAAGACGTATGGTAAAATTTCCCAAGGGCTTTTGAGAAGTTACAAATGAATGGATGATGAAATAATCCACTCTGATCTCAACTGTGTAACTGATGTGTCCTGTTAGAGTAAACTAGTATGAACATTAAACATGTCCACTAGTTTGAAACTAGATAAACTATAATACTTATGCATTTTTCATGTTCTGGGAAATGTCAAATAAATCCACACAGTAGGTTATTACCCCCAAAATATGTACACATATAAACCAGATTGATTGATGCTTTTAATTATTAAAAATAAGATTTAAATAGAAGATTCATACATTCTCAAAGGTATCCTTCTGTTCCATTTCTTGGCAAATTGTACTATGTGTCAAATGACAACATTCTAGCTAAAAATATTTTTAGCCCAACTAGCAGTTGGCAGTGGCTCGTGGGATAATGATGTCCAACCACTTGGTGCAGACTGAAATGTCTCTGCAGCTACTGAATAAATTAAATTTTGTACAGACACCCATATCCCCATGTGATTCTTTAACTTTTCATCTAGCATCAGGTCAGTCTGGTTTATCTTTTATCTGTTTGTAACAGTGAGATACTATATTGGAGTTTCATATTGTACAAGTATTAAATAACTCTACAAATGGGGGCGGCTGTGGCTCAGAAGGTAAAGCAGGTTGTCTCCTAACCGGAGGATTAGTGGTTCGGTTCCTGGCTTGTCCAGTCAACATGTCCTTGAGCAAGGCACTGAACCCCCAGTTGCTCCCGGTGATAACGTCGGTGTGTGAATGTGTGTTTGTGAGTGTGAATGGCCAAGTAGTGTGAAAGCTCTCTGAGTGTGCTGCAATGCATAGCAAAGCGCTATACGAGTATGACCATTTACCAAATGTTCTGTTATAATTCTTATAAATAAACTCATTATACATGAGCTGCAGATAGAAATATCCTCCACTTAGTACTTGGTGAGGGTCGACAAGCATAGGGCTCCTCATCCAAAATACAGGTTTGAAACCTTTTAAACATCTATTTACAAATTAAAGCCCAAATCATACATTGGTGAAAATATGCATGAAGGCTTTTATTAATTTTACATTGTTAATTTGATGAGACAACAGTCCATTTCACCATCTGAGCTATGTGTGTTCTATTTTTTTGTAGTGTCTTCCTGTAAGTTCTAATTATCAGCTATAAAACCAGAGCTGTAAAACACTTGACTTGATATGTTCCGCTTTTTGATGAGAAAATCTAGTGTGCTGTATCTTGTTGAATCAGGTGTGTGCACAGGGTTTGTCCCAGTATCACAGATGTCACCTCCATAATAACAAATAGAAACTACATTGCTCAGTAACATGGAAGAGATATTGTGAATAATAAACTAATCAATCCATATCAGAAAATAAATCCTGGAAAAGTCTTTCAAGATAGATTAGTACAGGAAAATACAATTTGTTTTTGCTTTCCTCCTTACTCTTGTTTTGTATTTAACTGATTCACATTGGAGGCTTGTTTTCTTGTTATTTGTTTGATAGCTAGGTTGAGCAAACCTCTACAAATAAACATATCTACAATATGGTGATGTCTGAGTCACCCTTAAACGATGGTAAACAGAAAACAAGCCTGGCTGTCCCTTTGCTTCCCACTCCTCTGTTGAAGTTGAGCTCTTGTTTTTGCCTCATCCAGTATGAGCTTGCAACATCCTCCTAAAGTCAACATGTGAAGGGACACTGGGTGGTCTCTTGGTTTATTTTTTCAGACCTATTTACGTATAGCAGCAGCTCGTCAGTACAAAGTGGGCTATGAGTTCTGGGAGCAGAGACTCTGAGTCAATGCTGCTTTAGATAATCAGTAACAAGAGTGGGAGCACCACATCTAGCCAGCTGGGTGAAAGTGAGGGAGAAGCAAAGTCAGGATCTCATTCAGCAATAACAAACACGGTAAGAGCAAAGTGACTTTTTCTTGATCACCATTTGATAGGACTATTCATTGTATTGTTCAAAACCAAACGATACTCTCTTAAATAATGCCATCTTTGACAAATTATCTCTTTAATACACTCCAGTTTGAAGGTTAACATTTTTTGTAAAACTGCAGCCTGAAGACATGGCTAGTATGAATCTGATCGTTTGAAAACTTTTGTCAAATTCTGGAGCTTGACAGAAAACACTGATCATGAATCAGATATTTTTTTCCTTTTTAAATCCCTGACACTGAGTCATTGGGAAGACGGGTTGTGTGTAACATGTAAGTGCATGGTTTTATTGATCAGGGACCAAGGCCATATCATGTCTAAATAGAGGAAAATCTGATGTTTGCTCACCTCCACTGAGTCCATCAGTCCACATTTTTGCACATCCAACTCATTGGATAACGTCTCAAACTTGGTAACTTTTCTACAGGAAAGTTTTCATTTTCACAACATAATTTACTCATTCTACATCTGTATTTGTTCAGGTATAACAAATACACTCAATTATGTAATAAGTAAGTTTTAATATATAATTTGAGTGTATAAATTTGACTTATTGAGCACATCCAGTTTGTCCCCAGTCTGCTTAAATAGAATCCAGTAACAATATCCAAATGACACATCAATCTTATTTTAGTCAGTTCCACATCCATGTAGATGCATCTTCATTATCTATGGGACCTCTGTTGCAGAGGGTAATGCCTTTTCTCATTCCCTGACCAGCAGGGGAGAGAAAACGCACAAAGAGCAATCAATCACTGTACCACTGTACGCCCAGTGTTCCTGTCAGAGAGAGAAAATCAGGTTCAGCCAGATGTCCAATGAACATATCCAATGAAAGCTGTGCTATAATTGTCATGTAGCAATCACAGACCACCCAATATTCAGGTCTCACAAAGACTCAAGAGGCAGTTGGCAGGTTAATATTCTGAATTCATCTTAAACTAACGATATCTGTCTCCCTCCACAGAAGAATCATTTAAAGGTGACTACAAACAGAAGGTGAAATGCAGAGACTGTCACCTCTGGTAGTAGTAGTCCTACTGTACTGCTGCCTCTCAGAAGGTCAAGCCAATCGCGTCTATGTTCACCCCTTCCACCTTTTTGCTGTCAAGAATGTCAGCTGTGAGAACCTGCAGACCCAGACGTCCGAGCCTCGGGGGATTCTTCCTGTGGTTCCTCTTGATATTGAAGTCCTGTCACCAAACACCAGGAACCCAGTGAAACTGAACGCAGAGAGGCAGAACATCACAGAGAGGACAATGGTTCTGGCAGGGCTGATGAATGCTTTGGGTCTCAGGATGTACCAGGCTCTGAGCAACAAGCAGAACAGCACCAACACCCTCTTCTCTCCAGTCAACACTTTTGGATCTCTTGGCATTTTATACCTGGGAGCCTCCAGGAAGACAGCAAAATTGTTCCAGGTCTCTGCTTTTGATTTGTTCTCATTGTATAGATAGTCCAGCAAGGGTTTTAGGCAAAGCAGACCCTACTGATTCTTTACTGTTTTGAATGATGGTATAATTGAGACATTCATAATCCATCTGATCTTTTCCTTTTCTTCCAGATTTTTCTGGGCCTGAGCAGTGGCACCGACCGAGAGGACTGTGTATCCTTAGTGGATGGACACAAAGTTCTCAAGACCTTGCAGAGCATTAACACTCTGGTGGCTGACGGACCCAAAGATGAAATCGCTACCCAGGTCTGGGCTTTCCATCGTCAGGACACTCAGCTATCCGAGGACTTTATTCAAGGCACACAGGACTTCTCAGACTCATCGTTCATCCGCGGCGTGAACTTCTCCAAACCTCAGGAGACTGAGCAGCTAGTGAACAGTTTTGTCAAGAAGACCTCAGACGGAAAGGTGAAGAGCATCTTCAAAGACCTGAACCCCAGCAGTGACCTTCTGTTCCTTACCTCCTTTCACTTTAAAGGTCTGTTTCTTCCTCTCATTTCTTTTGACCTCTACAACAAAGTATTTGTGAATACACAGACTCTGAGAGACATGATTTAAATTCAAGACTTCACACTTTCATGTTGCCGGGCTGATATTAAACTAACTGGTACATTGTGTGCACCAAATATTATATTTGGGGTGAACAACATTTTGCACACCTCTACTGTATTTTGTTTCATTTTAATTTTTCTGAGACAGAGTAAATACTGACCCACTTATTATGACCACAGTCAGTTTTGCAATTGACTATGAACTGACTGTATGAATATACAGTGTGAAGTCAAACACACTTGGATTTGACTTGCTGACAAATTTAAACTCGACATGAAAAGTCATTACCTACTGCACCACCCTGCAGAACCTCCTCATGTTATTTTGCTGTGTCTATTTTAGGCAACTGGAAGACAGCCTTCCAACCAGAGAGAACCTTCTTGGAGGACTTCCATGTGGATGAAACAACCACAGTGATGGCCCCAATGATGACCCACACTGGTCACTACAACTATGTGAATGATAAGGTAAATCTTAGTTCAGTAGAATTGTGTTTTTATGCTGGTTTGTTGGCTCGTTTGTGTACAGAATTTATTTTTGCCACATATTTGAGGCTACAATGTATGAGAATGAACTTGGATGTTTTGGGGTTTTTTGAATGATTATCGTTTCTGTTAAGGTGCAGCAGTGCACTGTTGTGAAGCTGCCTCTAAGCAAATGGTCCTACATGTTGCTGGTCCTGCCTCATGAAGAGGCAAATCTTCAAGATGTGGAGTCTAAACTGCACACTGAAGTCATGTCTGAGTGGCACCAGAACCTTCAGGAAGGGTAGGTATTGAGTTTAAATCCAGACTTTGTGTCACAAGGCTGTCATCACAAATTGATGACCTGTAAGGTTGTTGTTGTCTTGTTAGAGCCCCATTTTAATGATCAGCAACCGTGTGAATTTCTCATGTTGAGAGCTCATTCTAAAATGTTAGGCCTACTATGTTTAACTTATTCATAAAGAATACAAGTGTAATTGTTAGATTACATTTTTTAAAACCTCAAACTTAAATAGTAGTCATTCAATTAGTTAAATTACTTTTGCTTTTTTATGTGTAATTATTGAAACTAGTTTGGAGCCCTGAAAGGAGTGTGTGTGTGTGTGTGTATGTGTGTATATACAGTGGGTACGGAAAGTATTCAAACCCCCTTAAATTTTTCACTCCGTTATATTGCAGCCATATGCTAAAATCATTTAAGTTCATTTTTTCCTCATTATTGTACACACAGCACCCCATATTGACAGAAAAACACAGAATTTTTGACATTTTTGCAGATTTTCTTGGTGCTCTACCTGCACCTGGACTCTAGTTTCTGTCTACAAAACCATTCCTTGCACTTTCCTATGAATAGGGGCTTTTTCTTTTGTTTCATTTACAATGCATCTGTCCTGTGAACAGATAGGTACAGTACTTTTTGCATTAAAGTCAGTTGAGTGGCATTTATGTGCGAGAGTGTGTCGGGTACAGTCAAACTTGATCATATATGTTTGCTTTTAAATATCTTTCCCCTTCACCTGCCCAGTCTGTTGGAGCTGTCAATGCCAAAGTTCTCTCTGTCTTCTGCAACTGATCTGCGTGACCTGCTGACCAGCATAGACCCAGAAGTTGAGGCCAAATTGCTGGGCTCTGAGGCTGAGTTCAGTCAACTCGGCAACAAGAAATCCTTCACTATAGACAAGGTGAACTACAGAAATAGTTAGCTTGTCATATTACTGAATGTACTCTGTATGTACATTATTAACAGCTCCTCTGTCTCCTCTCAGGCAGTGAATAAGGTATTGTTTGAGATGTCGGAGGAAGGAGCAGAAGATCAGGACAAAATACAGGAAGCTGGTGTCCCTCTGAGTCTGTCCATCAACCGACCTTTCTTCTTTTCTGTCATAGAAGGATATTCTAATGCCATCCTCATGCTAGGCAAAATCACTAATCCCACACTTTAGAGTTGTGTAATACTTTACAACTCATTAAGGTTTTAGCACACCAACATTTATGTTGGATCTTTGGTTTACCTTATTTCAGATGGAGGGAACGAGAACTTTGAGATTTTTCTTTTTCTGAACTTAATGTACATATTTATTGTTTGAAACTTATTGGAGCTATTAAGATCTGGGGGAAAAAAAAAATTTTTTTGTTAATGTTTGCATTTTGTCTTTCCATCACATACTGTAACCATGTTTCATTCAAGTCATACAAGTTTTGAGCATCACTTGTATGTTGCTTTGTGGATTTAGACCCGACTTCACTATACAGAGTGTAACGCAAAAAGCAAGCTAAATAAGGAAAATAAACCTTTCTCAAGACAGATCCATCAATAGTGTTATCTTTCACTACCTACCTGAACTCCAGAAACTCAGGAGTCATCAGGGATCCCTCTCAGTATTTATGGGAACCCATTTTCAAACACCCAGTTATAATCCTGTAAAGATACCATAACTGACTATGATGAATGATTAATATATTGTTTATTTTTTTTGTTACAATTCCTGATAGCTGAAATTAAACTTCTGTTTCCCAGTGTAATTCAAATGTTTTTTTCATCAGAAATTCAGACCAGTCATTACCATTCCAAAGTTACAAGTGAGTCTTATTCCAAAATTCATCACCACCTTAAACAGGTCAAGAAAAACAGGCCTACAAAATGTATAAATAAAAACATGAATCACTGTATGAAATAATATAGAAATGGGCATGTCTGCTTTGACTGATTATTTAAAGCTCCTGAGACCAGAGCAAAATCTAAAACCCGGCAAGACCAAATCTGAATTTTCATACCACCACAGTTTAACTTTGTGTAGTTTATCAAGCCGTAGCATTTTTTCCAGAGTGAAATCATGTACAAATAGCTTGTTGGTATGTACACCAGGGTTAGTCCTGCTTCTTGACTAATATACAGCTGCCTGTAGTTAGCTAATGACCTCTATTAAACATATAAACTTAACCCAGTATCCAAAGTTTTTATCCCATGTTGAACATATTACACTATACAACTTTGATTCTAAGAAAAATGTACATGTTAACTTTTCTGAGATTACTCCTTTACCACGAAGGAGAAATTAAATATTGTTTAGCTGACTTTCTCTCTTCACAACTTTACAACAGCGTATGATCAGAGTAGTAACTTTCTATAGAGCAGTGCGCATCACCAGTATACTATGTTCATGAAAAACATTTTGTGAACACAGTACTGTGCAGAACCTATGATGATCCAGTCTCATTCACAGATGGTACTTAGTGTAGTTTCTCTGTTGAAAGGGAATTTCAGTAGTGTTAGATCTTGTCCTACATTCTTTGTGCTCTGATCATCATAACATATTACCTGACCACGGGTTTGACCTGAACTGGGAGATTTGTTTTTCCTTCATGGCTCAACAGAAAATGTAGGGGTAAGACCAATATTACTGGTTCTGTTCAGCAAGGTCTCTAGCCTCTTTCACAAGGTCCATCAGAGAGGAGAACATGGAGATGTCACTTGGCTGAAGACCCATCTTCTGGATCTAAGAGGCAACAGTACAAAACAGTGTAAGAGAGAATACTACAGTGTGTTTCAGATGACACTGAAGTTTAACAAAAAATAGCAATTTGTAAATTTAACAGCATTCCTCTACAGAATATACAGTATGTGTTTTTGCTTGTGAAATGTGCATGTACAGTGAGGAACAGAAGTATTTGAACACCCTGCGATTTTGCAAGTTCTCCCACTTAGAAATCATGAAGGGGTCTGTCCACCCCACAGTCAGTCAGACGCCAACTACTACCATGGGCAAGACCAAAGAGCTGTCAAAAGACACCAGAGACAAAATTGTGGACCTCCACAAGGCTGGAAAGGGCTACGGGGCAATTGCCAAGCAGCTTGGTGAAAATAGATCAACTGTTGGAGCAATTGTTAGAAAATGGAAGAGGCTAAAGACGACTGTCAGTCTCCCTCGGACTGGGGCGCCATGCAAGATCTCACCTCGTGGGGTATCACTGATGATAAGAAAGGTGAGGAATCAGCCCAGAACGATAGGGAGGAGCTGGTCAATGACATGAAGAGAGCTGGGACCACAGTTTCAAAGGTCACTGTCAGTAGAACACTACTGGTCAGATGAGACCAAAGTAGAACTTTTTGGTCTAAACTTCACTCGTCGTGTTTGGAGGAAAAAGAAGGATGAGTTGCATCCCAAGAACACAATCCCTACTGTGAAGCGTGGGGGTGGTAACATCATGCTTTGGGGGTGCTTTTGTGTGAAGGGGACAGGACGTCTGCACTGTATTAAGGAGAGGATGAATGGGGCCATTTATTGTGAGATTTTGAGCAACAACCTCCTTCCCTCAGTCAGAGCATTGAAGATGGGTCGTGGCTGGGCCTTCCAACATGACAACGACCCAAAGCACACAGCCAGGATAACCAAGGAGTGGCTCTGTAAGAAGCATATCAAGGTTCTGGAGTGGCCTAGCCAGTCTCCAGACCTCAATCCAATAGAACATCTTTGGAGGGAGCTTAAACTCCGCGTTGCTCAGCGACAGCCCCGAAACCTGACAGATCTAGAGGAGATCTGTGTGGAGGAGTGGGCCAAAATCCCTGTTGCAGTGTGTGCAAACCTGGTCAAGAACTACAGGAAACGTTTGACCTCTGTAATTGGTTTCTGGTAAAAGGTTTCTGTACCAAATATTAACACTGATTTTCTCAGGTGTTCGAATACTTATGTTCAGCAGTGCAAGACAACAAAATTCTTTAAAAATCATACAATGTGATTTCCTGAAATTTTTTTTTTATTCTGTCTCTGAGTGGGAATGCACCTACAATGTGAATTTCAGACCCCTCCATGATTTCTAAGTGGGAGAACTTGCAAAATCGCAGGGTGTTCAAATACTTCTGTTCCTCACTGTATTTGTGCACTCATCATATGCAACCCACTTGTTCCCCTAGGTACTGCACATCCAGTGCAAGCTGAAGACGGATCTTGCTGTCATCTGTGGGTCCACCATTTCCTCCTGCCGTGGTAATTGTGGTCGCACCCTTTCTGGCTTGTTTCAGTCGCTTCAAACTCTCCTCCATCTTCCTCACTGAACTCAGCACCTCTGCAATGGTCTCATAGTACCTAATCACAACAAAGATGGAAAATGGAAGCAAGAAACACACTGTATGGATTGCAGCTGGAAATATACACCCACTCATTATTGAAGTCATTTATTTATATATATAGACTTCAATAATGAACATATAATTGAATTTATACATTCATGATAATCTCACCAAAAACATATTGAGCTTCATAAATACAAATGTTAAGGCAGAAGTGTTGCAATTAAGTGTGTACAGGTGGTCATAAGGTTATGCCTGATCTGTGTGTGTGTGTACAAACACACACACACACACACGAAAATGCCACTCATGGACAGATATACGCCCAGAGGGCGAGGACTAGTGTGGTTGCCCACAGATAACAGCTGTTCTGGGGGAAGGCAACTTTGGGGTGGCAGGTTACATTTCTGGTTCATGAGTTCTTTTTGGTGGGAAAAACTGTGCATATAAGTCTATGTTGTTCTGTGTTGTCGTCTTTGTAATAAAAGCAACGGCTCTCCAGGCACGGAAACCTGCATAAAAAGACAACCTGACTCCACTGTCATTCCATGGCAGAATCTCTAGAATCCACTAGCCCACCATTTATAAAAATAGAGAAATGAAAGTATAGCCTTAGTTATATTAAACAGAATAGCTCTTTCTGTAAACATTCTAGGTACAGTCCACACTTACCTCTGTGTGCATTCAGACAGTGCAACTTGCAGCCACTCTTGTGCAGTGGAGGGGGAAACCAGCCCAGTTGAGTCAGTCAGAACCTGATGCAGTGGATGTAAGGCATTGTCCATGTATGCTGATGCACGCACTGGCAGTTCCTTCACAGGCAAGAGGGAGAAAGGCAGAACTATTTCTCCATTTCATACTTGTTAGTGGCAAAGAGACACATATTAGTTTGCTGAGGTTTTACTTTAGTTAAAGGTACTCTATTGAATTTCTTTTCTGCTGCTAGAAAGTCTGCTGGGACACATTCACTCTATAAGCCAATGTAAACATCTGAAAGTTTGACAGGAAACCCTTGGTACAAGGTCAATTATGAAACTTTAATTTCAATTATTAAATTACTTTGTTACATACAAGAAATCTCTGAAGTGTGTACTCAGTTCATTAATACTCAATATTCAACCCAATAATAAGGTACTCCAGTAGTATTTGTTCAAAGGCCATTAACATCCATCAGATGTTGTGCTGCAAACTTGTGCACGTTTGCAGCTTCACCTACCTTATTAGTCCTACGGTACAGTCGAGGAACCTCAGAGGCACTCTTCAAGAAGCGGCAGCAGCGCTCTGTCAGATGCTGGGTCATCCTGGTATTCAGAGTAGGAACACTACTTGACAGGCAAGCCTTAGAGTCTGCTAGAGCATCTAACATGGAAGAAAGTCAGGAAGGGACAGTTAAAGCAAAGAATCAAGGAATAATATTTTCTGATTATGTCTGTCAAAAAGACAGGGTTTTGAATGTTTAAATTTTTTAAATGGCTTTGGACACTGGCATTTATGAATGCAAGACCCCTCCATAATATAAAAAATTAAGACCACAGATAAGGTAATCCTAAAAAAAACTGCATAAAAGTCCTCCACAAAGATTCTAGTCCTTACTAAATACAATTAAACAATATTGAAGATCAAGGACTTACTGTAAAGAATGTAAAAGGCTAAAATAATTTCTATATGCACCAAATGGGCAGCTTACCTTCCACAACAGTAAAGTTTTTGAGTCCGATGGCTTCTAAACGCTGTCTGACCATCTCTGACAATTCTGGAATCTAATAGAAAGACGAGCCAGCTGTCAGTTTAAAAGTAATTTAAGATGAAACTGGAGAACCAAGACATTAAATATAAATAATTACAGAATTCTCAGAAAGAGACACTTAGGTTAACCATGCAAGTCTAAAATGTAACATATGTACTTAGTTTGTGTGTGTGCACCTGCTCCTGCAGCTTTTGGATGTCAGCAGCAATATAGACCAGCTGTTTAATGGACAGAGAGGTCGGGCTCCCACTCTCACTGCTGCCCTCCTCCACTGATGTTCGGCTGGAGGTGGAGGAGGCGGAGCTTGGGAGAGGCCTAGTCAGCTCTTTAGTCACCTCAGTGGGTGGAGTCTTAGTCAACACCTGGGTAGACACAATCAGGATAAGGAACAAATAACTATCAATTTGGACACCACTTCCTTGGCTTGTTTCTCATCTAAAGAATTCTAAAATAATCTTTTTGAGTTTAAGTCTACCTCATCAAGAAACTTGGCATATCGTGAGTAGAGCTGCAGCGTGAGCTTCCAAAAACGATGGGCCAGAGGTGACAGGTAGACCTTGTCTGACCAGCACCTCACTAGACAGGACCACAGCACCTCAGTTACCCTTAGATGGTATGCACTGCCATCTGGCCATGAACAAACACAGGCATACAATTACTGCAGGTAATGTATACACCAGGTACTGGAGTTCACTACAGAGAATGAATTCCTACCTGGTGCTGCCTCTAATCCCTCACTTATGGCATTCTCCAGACTTCCTGCCATTTCCTTGTACCTGAAAAACAAGGAGAGCTGAATGAGGGGAAAGACAAAATCAATGAGTGATCAGCTTATGACTTGCATCAGCTCTCAAATACAAGTGCTCATGGTGTGATACAACACAGTTCTGTAAATTATGGGCTTTCCAGGCAAACTGAACAGTTCAGGTTTGGGTCATATGAGTATATTCATTTAAACTAAGAAGTCATTTAATTTAAAAGATTTAAACACACCTCCAGTGTGAGAAAGTAAAATCCATGCAATCTAAGGTTTATGTACTGTATATGTACGAGTTTTATTCTAAACCAAAATATCCCTTAACTTGAAGGAACAGTTTGATAGTTTGAGAAGCTTTTTTGAGAAGAATGCATACTGTACACAGTCCAAGCACCAGGCTGTAGTATCTAGAGAATATATTGTATTGCGGTAACATTCACCGTAGTTGAAAGTAGACAGGCAGGTTCCATTTGTTGTGGAAGCTGGTGTTTGAAGGGTGCACTCTCAGCCTCTTCACACTGGCCTGCGAGCTACACTGACGCTCAAACCTCCGCACAAACTCCATACTTGTGCTGTAACGCTTTAAAAAATATGAATTGGTAGAAAACATACACACATTGGTGAAACCACACAATCTAACACTGAATTATGTGACTATATGCAGTATGCAAAATGAATGCATACACACACCACCTGTGTCAATCATCTGTACCTCGTAGAACATGTCGGGGTTTCCAGCGTTGAAGAGGTAGGACAGCCTCTCCTCTATGCCTCTGATCATCTCCGGCCACACAGAGTTCACCAGGAAATCATAACCCGGCACTATGTCAGCTTTGTCACTGAGGAGAGATAAAACAACACATTAAAAATACATCCTGACACTCTCTACATTGGGCACTACTCCTGTCACTGCTTTTATGTGCAGGATCTGTGAGTACCCGCTGTTATTTCTGAAAGAGATGCAATGTTAAAATATGTTGAGTAAATGATGCAAGGCAACTAAATATATTAATAAAACAAAATATTTAAATATCAAGGTGTGGCAGAAGATCACACTCTGGCCAATATTCCAAATGCAACAGCTATGCACATGTAAGTAGACAATTTGCTTTTCTAATAGAGACAAGAGGATTTCAAAACACATCAAAGAACGTACAAATGCTCGATTTATTGATGCTGATGGCATTAATACCTAGATATGGCTCCCCCAGTCACCTCTCTTAGAAGTCTACAGTGATGGGGAACAAACTCCAGCAGTCTAGAATACATCAACTGAAGACCATTTGGACTGGACTTGACCACCTCTTCTACTATCACCTAAAAGCAGAAATGAGAAGAAAAGAGATTTTAGCTGCATATCCATATAGTTCTATACACTATATCAAATCATGTGTGGTATGTTTACCTGGTCCATGTAGGGTTTGACCAGCACCTGTCCTACCAGGGCCTCAGCATCTCGAGTCTTGTCTATGGTGGCGTATGTCCTCAGGCAGTGACGCACCATGTCCACGTTGGATGTTTGCAGACCCTCGATCAACAGACCCTCCAGAGATTGCTGCAGCATGGAAGTGATCCCTGCAATTCGCTGGCAGAGGATAAAACTTGTCACATACACAGTTAAAAAACATCAACCAACAGAGTCTGTTCCAGGAAACACATGGACCAAGCAAGTCTTAAATCTCTGTGAAAGCTAGGAACTAATGTTTTGGAGCTATTTTCTGTATAGTGCAGATGGTAGTATTGGTGTTTTGTCTGCTAGAGAAGTGCCCTTAGCATTTACCACGACTACACAAAGGCCGATTAACACAACTGATGCATTGACAGAAGAGCAGTCAGAAAGACTGATTGACTAAGTGGCTATTTATCCATCAGCCGTCTGATTGATAAATAATACTTACAGGTCTGACTTTGTCCAGTAGGGGCATGCCTTTGCTCTGTACAGCATGGAACTGCAGCTGGTTGAATTCTGTAGCTATCCTCTCCAGGATCTGACCTGCTAACAAAGGACTGTACAGAGACAAGGACAAAAGCTTAGAACTATGTCCGTGCAATGACAGTACATGATTTATTTATTTATTTATTTTTACAATTCTTTTTGTCAACAATTTGTTGAAAACCAGAAAGCATTGTTCAAGGTTACAAAGCAAAAATATAGTTTTTCACACTGCAGCTCTCCAAAATAAACACATGTACAAAACCTTTTCCAATTTAATTTGTCTATTGGCAAACATCCTATGTGTAATACCTGGTTAGGTCAGATATTTAAATACAAATACTGAAGCTCACATTACTTGGTTGAAGAAAAAAAAAAAGCCCTCATTCAGTGACAGGTTATCCACCAAGTGATGCCAGTGGGTTTGATAACATGGCAGTTTCCCACCTGCTGATTTCCAGAGAGCTGGATTCTTTAGAGTTCTGTGAGTGAAGGATCTTCTCAATTTTCTCCACTGAGCGCACCACCTGGATTAGCCTCGATACACACACCTGACGGATGGTAATCATTTATTGAGATCATCCCACGGAGTAAACAACTGTCTACTATAAAACATGTTACATCTTCTAAAGTTACACTCACCACTACGTTATTAGGTACATCTGTACAATTGTGTGCAATTCAATGCAACACTTCTGCCTTAACATCTGTTTATGAAGCTCAAAATGTTTCAGTTTTTGGTTGAGTGTTCTTCATATTCTGACCCTCTCATGTATGTAGCTGGAGAGGACAAAAATATAGAGACACCTCTAAACATAATGTAGTCCAGTAGAAGACCACCTTTAACTATGACCTCAATAATAAACATAAAATTGAATTTATACATTTTATGCATTTTCACCAAAAACTGAAACATTAAGATTAATTTAAAATTTTATTAATATTGCTATGAAATAACCAAAAGGCAGGTTAATTGTCTCTATGGAACCAAATATACAGTCTTGGTAAAAAGAAAGTACACCCTCCTGCAGTTCTATGTTTTTATTCACCAGGGGTCTGTTTGTGTTGAACTCACCATTTTCTATAAACAAACAAAAAAAAATAACCTCAGGTGACAACAAAAAAAATGCAACAGATTTCAAAACATGGTTGCTGTTTCCCAAGTAAACCAACATTCAGAAACCAGACAGGAAAATAAAATCACACCGTTCCAATATCCACAATCATTAAAACAATAATAGGCAGCCGGGTGAGACTAATCAAATGCACAGGATTAGCAAATCATTAAGAAGCTTGACTGCCTTTATAAAAGATAAACTTTTGGCAGTTTAGTGTTCTGGAGCACTGAGGTATGTGTCTACATCATGCCAAGAAAAAAAGGACATCAGCCATGACCTCAGAGAAGCAATTGTCACTGCTCATCAGCTTGGGAAGGGTTAAGGCCATCTCCAAACAGTGAGATTCATCGTTCTACGGTGAGAAAGACTGTTTAAAAATGGAGCCTTCAAGACAGCTGCCATTCTCCTCAGCAGTGGGTGTCCCAGCAAATTCAGTCCAAGGCCAAGGAGATATAAAGGAAAACTCAAGAACTACATCAGGTGAGCTGTGGGTCTCTGTAAAGTACATTAAATGTTTATGTTCATGACAGTACAACTATAAAAAGACTATAAAAAGAAGTGGAGATTTTTGTTCATCATGCACAGCACCATGTTTGGCAAAAACCAAACACAGTGTATCTCCACAAACACTTCATACCAACTGTCAAGCATGGTGGTGGCTAGGTGATAATTTGGCCTCATTTTGCAGCCACAATACTTGGGAAACTTCCAGTCATTAAGATGACAATGAAATCCACTTTATACCAGAATATTATTGAGACAAATGTAAAGCCATCTGTCCAACAGCTTGAACTGAGCCAAAACTGTGTCCTGCAATAGGACAATGACCCCAAACCACATTACTAAATTAGCATCTGAATAGTTTATAGAAAAAAAAAATCAAGGTGTTGGAATGTCGAAGTCAAAGCCCAGACCTCAACCCCAGTGAGATGCTATGGCAGGATCTTAAGAAAGCTGTGCAAAAGTGAATGCCTTCAAACATAGGTGAACTGAAGTAATGCTGTAGAGAAGAGTGGGTCTTTTTACCATGACTGTACATTTTTGAAATTACATTCAATATTAAGTTCACAACTTAGCATTGACATTCCAAGCCAGACTGTCACAGCACACTGTAAAAGTGATCAGAACAGATTTAAAGATGAATATAAAAGATAACACACAATAAAGTCAAACAGGTAGAAGAGAAACCAAACCTTTTTTTTCTGCAGATCTTCCTGTTTGGACAGCTGGTTGTCTATAGCCTGAATCACCTCATTCACACAGGACCGCAGACTCTGGCAAGAGAAAACAGCCAGCAACATACATAAAGACTCTGAAACAGGACTATACCCAGACTTACCATATACACAATGACAGCACATACCATCACCTCCTCTCTTAACTGTCCCAACGGCACAGAAAGCTGATTGAGAGCTTTGTCCATCCCAACCTGCGACGAGGGAGCAGAAGCCTTAGATGAGAAACAGTCTACCCTCAGATACCAAATTTACTTTTAAAAAAATGAAAGCTGTGAGCTGGGCTCCCTTTCATTTCTCAAGAGTGTATCAAGAGCATAACCAGAAGCGAATTTTTGAGGCTGATGCCAACACTGAGTTTGGAGAACTATAAAAGCCCATTAATAATTGACTGGTATCTTCTTCTAACATAAATTTTATGACTATTAATGTTATTATCAAAGAAGAAAGTAGCAAAAAATTTAAATTATTAAATCAGAACAGGTCAATCAAATAATTTTAAATATTGCCTAAGAAAAAACTGTCAAATATACATAATAGTATCTCAATAACAACTGCTGCAGTTTATGAATCTACAAATCCTTATTATTTAGTTTTTTATATTTCTGTGATAAACCAATATCATCTGAAAAGAGGGGCTTGTCGATTTATTGGTCAAGCCCTACTGTATTGAACATTTCAGCAAAAATTCTTAAGGCCAGTTAGAAATAAAGGTTAAGCTTGCTTTTATATATTATATGAAAGTATTTTTCAATAGACTTTTCTAGCTGACCCCGTGCCTCCTGTGGATTACAGGCTCACTGGTTACAACCACAGTAGCCAGTGGACAAAATTAATAGCAACTGACCAGGTTGGTGGATAGGTTAACAAAGTCTGCATAGTCCTTGTTGATGAGTTCCACCATGGCTGTTTTCAGCAGCTTGTAGTAGAGCTCAAGGTCCTCTCTCATCTCTTCCAGAGTCACCTGCTTTCGACAGTCGGCCACAAACTGGTCAACATCGAAGTCAACCTGCAGACAGCGAGAGAAAGACAACAGACATCAGAAGAATACAGATACGTGTAGATAGCAGAGCTTTCTAGTCGGCCCTGCGTACAATAACATCCAGTATTAACGTTACTAGCATATGGACAGAGAAGCTGTATCAGAAAAGGGGGAGAAATTTTTTGACCTAGCTACAACATGACAGACCAAACAAACTGACGTACATCACACAGCAAGGGCCCATTAAACGTCGTTTAAGTATTATAGCTCATGCACAGTAACGTCAACGTTTGACGTGCTATTAAACAACATTAGCTTTGTCTGTGATTGAAGTTTAAACTCTTGTTAACTCGATTTAGTGTTCAAATACGAAAACTGAAATACAAACAAATTAGTATGAGCAGCTACTAAGAGTCGAGCTAAGGATAGCTAGTCTAACAGCTTAAGCTAGCATTAGCGCATTACTAAACGTTAACGAATTCTCACCTTCATGAAAACATCCTTGTCAAAGCACAAGGAATCCGGTCCCTTTGGCAGATTCATTTTGTATTATAAAACACAGCTCGAACACATACAAAATAAAATAGCAAACGGCCAATTAACTAGCTAATGAAACCGAGCTTCCGCAAACATGGCAAACGCACCAACAAAGAAGACGAAACAGGAAGCTGCTCAGGAAACTCTGCCCTCTTGAGGCCGGTCTTTGTCGGTGTTACACTATAATTCTGTGACAATCACAAAATGTGACCGCAGAGGGCGCTGTTGCACGTATAATGCTTAGTATACGTTATTGCTGGAAAAGTGATCCGGTCTTGGACGGGTGAACGAAAGGCGAAGTACCTAGTAGTATTTGATGCTAAATATTTTGTCCATTTGCCAGGCTCAATAGGATCAAGGTTTCTCAACTATTTTTTACGACCTTCCAGGCTACACTGACCAACCAATCCATTATTAAAGAAAATAATTGTCAGACATTTTGATAATGAAAACAATTGCTTGTTGTTAATTACTTGACACACAGAACAAAATTAAAGTAATATTATAAAAACAATGTTAGAACAACTATTACTATATTCGTTCAATTTAGGTTTTAGGACTACGTTTTGACAGTTTAGAGTGGATTTTGTAGCTCAGATATTATCAATTTATCTAGCATATCCTAGTAAACCTGGGGGGTTGGGGCTCCTGGGCTGCTATTTTGCCTGGCAGCTTCTATTATATTGTCATTCCTTTATTGTGTATGTTCAGCGTTGTATTCTCATATATTACATCTAGTCATTCTAACATTTCTTCCTTTAGGCTTCGGCAGCTTCCAGCCGCTCCTCTCTGAGTTTGGGTCAGACTATGCAATCTTATTGGACCAAAGGCAGGGCTGTGGTGTCAGGTGATGCAAGCAGCAGCCACTACTCTTTTCATTCGCTCTCGGTATGGAGAAATCGCTGCTCTGTCAACCCGGATGCTGTGCCATAACTATTGATAATTTTGCCCAGTGCGCAGCGCTGTAGGCAGAGCAAGGAAATATTTCAGTACCCTAGAAGCGGACAGCTCTCCCCAGACCCACACGCGTCTGACCACCGCGCTCCGCATCCGAGTGTGTGGGGTTGGGGGAACGCACTTTATACCCAAGATAGGGGAGGGTGCAGCCGCCACGATAAAGGGAAGCACACCCCATGTTCCTGTAAGATCGTGACCACTTGGCCGCCTCTGAAGAAAAAGACAGAGGGAGCGGAGCGTCACTACGGAGAGAGATGGCGGAGTGCGGGCGGAAGGCGCTGTCGCTCCTGGAAGCGGCCCGCTCCCGGTATGAGAGCCTGCAGATATCCGACGACGTGTTCGGCGAGTCCGGGGATGACAGCAGCGACAATCCCTTTTACAGCACCTCCGGAGACTCCGACTCGGACAACTACATAGCTGAGATAGGGGAGGAAGAGCAGCACCAGCACCAAAAACGGGGCGATAAGGAGATCGGGCACAGCGGAGGAGCAGGAGGTGGCAGCAGCGGAGCGGGTCCCCCGGGCTCTCTGTCCCGTAACCAGGCAGAGGAGGAGGGCTGGACGGATACCCTGCAGGATACCACAGTGCCGCCGTACAAAGAGACATATGGTGAGACGCGATGCACAAGATGAATAAGGTCATCTGTACAACGGGGAGGAATTGCCCGTGGGTGTAAACTGATTTGATAGAAACCGACAGTAATAGTGCACTTCGTGTTTTGCAGGTCAGGCAGGCCGTCTCTGTGGCTCTCAATCTGGTGCCAGAACATGACACAAAGGATTTTACTTTGGTACAATTGGATGCTTGTTTAATTTTCGTGTGTGTGTGTGTGCGCGCTTGAATCCCCCTCACGCCGGTGTGAGTGACAGAGAGAGGCATGACACTGCATCGCTGATTGCTGCATTAAGTTAAGAGCAAACGCTTGGCCTTTGATACTTCACCCCTTGGTGCTGTACACATGCTGTCCTGTGTGTGGCAGGGCATTGCAGGGAGACATGCTGTTTAATTTAGAGGAACAGCATGATGTCTCCTGGTTCTACACACCATATACACATGTAGCACAGTGTACAGTATGTATGCCGAGCACCTTCATGCACAAATGCTGCCCTTTGCCTTCCTGCACCAAAGGAATTAGAACAAGACTCAAACTGAATGCACCCTGATTTTGGTTCTCATTGAATGTCTGTGAGTGGAAACGAGACAATTGGGTGTGTGAATCATGACAGTCAAACAGCACCATGCACCAATACTGCTGTGTGTCTCTGAATTTATCCCAAAAGCATCATCTCACAAATTGTTTCTCCTGCTTCCAGTCTGTTTCCTCTTATCCATTTATCTACCACCAAGTCTGCATAAGGGGAGTGGGGTTTGGCTTTAAAGTGCAGTGCCTTCTGTTCGGCTTAATTTTGGATTTGTTCTCCTCTCTTGTTCCTTTTGCCTCCGCCAAAGCAAAGACAATTGTATTGTATCCAGAGTAACATGCTCCAGTGTTGCACAGTTGGAGGCTGTAGCCTCCAATTTTGCACAGCAAATGGCTGTAGCAGACACGGACCAAGCCAAGCAAATAAAAGCAGAAACACAAAATTGACTGTAGATAAAATGCCAGGAAACCACTGGGCCTTTAGCAAACTGTATTGTTTGTGTGCAGAGAGGATGTGTTTTGCAAACACTTACTGTAGAATTCTATAGCAAAATGTACCAGTTAGAATAAAAGACAGCACAGTGTCGGATCATGATACAAGTTTTCAACTAGTGCATCCTCTGTTGATGCTATACTTCACTGTACCCATGCAGTCTAATACAACAGTGTCCTTTTTACTTATTCAAAATGATCAGAACCAAACTGAGTTGAACCAGGGTACCATGAGAGGCTTTTCTGTGGAAAAAAGGTTCCAGGATGTTTTGCACTCCCACATCCCGCACTGCCCTGCTCTGCTTGCCTGTTTGGCTCTGTTGACTTAAACTAGGGAGACAGCAGGCGTGTCTGTTGTATATTCTAGTCTGGTTTGTTTAAAAAACTGTGTGTGTTTGCACAAGCACAGCCAGCATGGGTGTGGGCCTGTCATCCTGTGTCAGGGTTCAGATGATTAAGGGCAGAGACACACTAAGCCGACAGATGGTCGTCGGCCAGCGTCAGGCAGTCGGTGAGCGTCTGTCTGGGCTCGTCCTCCTGGTGTTGTCCTGCACTGTTGGTACTAGTCAGTCCCTGGCGGTGGCTTTTCGGCCGATCTGACATCTTGAATCGGTGTCGGCCAGTCGGGCCCCGTCGGTGAGCGAGAGACCAGTCTGATTGGGTGTTGAGCTTAGCAAATGAGTGCACGAGAAGAGAACGGTTTGGGAAAGCCCCTTCAGCCTGTCGCTGTAGTACCCATGATTTCACCCATTTAGTGCGGTTTCTCGTTGTTTTTCACCTCCACAACTTCCTTTCTTCTTCCACAACCAAAAGACCAAGGGCAGAGAACGGCAGTGCCATGCACAACATCTTATCAGACATATTCTCAGCTACAAGCAGCTGTAAACAGCAGCTGCGTTGAACAAGAGCTGCTTTGTTTACATCTTATATATCCTCAGTCTAGCTCATCTAGCTGGTAGGGAGAGTTATTTCTGTCACGCAGGTGCAGAACATACGTACTAGTTGGCCGTTTGCTGTGGCCTGTGCGTGTGTTCCAGTGTCGCTTTTTCAAACCAACTGGCCCAGACAAAGCTTGGTGTGTCTCTGCCCTAAGGGCTTCCTGGCTGGATGGAGACAGGGCTGCCACAGAGCATAATCACACCTCACTGCCCAAGTTCCCCAGATCTTACTCTCATTGATCGGCCTGGCCGTCAGTATAGCTACATGTTTTTCCACCGATTTTAACAGAAAACTACTTAAGCTACATGAGGCTACCATCAGCCATCGTCAGAGAGCATCAAGTCAACCACATGCAAACTCTCATCTGATTTTTGTCTGATCCCTGTCTTGGTTTGTTTAACCCCACAGCTCCTCCTTGGTTTTTGAAACCGTGTTGAGTTTTCAGCTTGCATACATACGTGGGTTACCCAAGGGTGGGTTTGTTGGTGATGTATTATCTTCATCCCGTGAGACTGTTACCCCTGCAGCGTGGGGGAGGGGGAAAAGGACCAAGCCAAGGATTACGAGGCATACTGTACATCCGCATCTCAGATTATATAACCACCTTATAATGATGTTCAAAGGAATTAAAGAGCTATTTATTCATTCTCTTTGCCGAGCACATCTGATAGTTTACGGATACGCTCCATATGTCCGTTTATCTGCCTGACCTTTGACCTTTGTGACTCTTATCCTGAGTGCTTTACCACTGCAGAGCCATTTGGAAAAACCTTATACTTACATAAAAGTGAAAGTTGATAATATTCTCATCATAGTAGCCTGCTTCGTGTATAATACTAAAGAAAATGTAACTGTCTTATTCTGTTGTACAGTTTTGTTGTCAAATAAACTATTCATAGCAAACTATAATTAAAACCTAAAACCTAATACACTTAGTGGTTAATGCTTCCACTCGCTCATGTGCTCTCTCTGAAATTTCTGTTAAAACCTGAGCCATGTGAAGGGTTTATCCACTGCAAATATAAAGCAATCTCTCGTTAACTATATGGCTATATAAAGATGTTTGTCCCTCAACAATAGAAACACTAGTACAGTTTATAATCATGAGGGATTATACAGTATACCTCTATATCTGTGCAACATGGGTGGAGTTTTACAGTGAGTAATGTGGGAAATTGATATTTCAGTGCTTGTCTGTAGATGAACATCAGCTCATTTCAGCTGTCCAGAGTAGAGTTATGTAAACATTTGATCCAGTTTTATCAGAGTGAGATGGGCTGGACTGGAGATCAGCTGGCAGGGAAGAGACATACTGTATATGGAGGAAGGTTATATTTACTCAGCAGCAGATGAAACAATTCCATTATCCATAAAAGTAAGGAGCGTTTGGGGCTTACTCCACAGAGATGATTCATTTTGCCTCGGTTGACTTCCATCTGAAATATTTTTATCCAAGAGTGGCTCACTCAGAGGAAGTTGTGTTGTGCTGGATTTTACACTCAGCTCTCATGTTTAATGGACTCCAAATGAGTGGATTTTCAGCCATGGCCAGGCTACTTCTGCTGTCTTGGCTGCAAGAATAAACTGTGTGGGCTTTCACTTCTTTTTGTCCTCCTTTCTGTAACAATGTACCAATTACTTTCAACATGTTACTTTTAACTCAACATTGAAAGAATGGCATAAACGTCCTTCGTGTCTTTGCGGCTAGCCTCTCAGAACTCAGGAAAGGATAGAGAGAGAGAGAGTGAAAACCTTGTTTTGTGTTGTTTGATAATGAGATTGTGCTGTTCAGTAGAGCCTGAAGTTGTTCTGCTCGGTGTTCGGATTCTCTCTCATGGATCCAACAATCTCAGAAAAAAAATCTTCAGTTTACTGGAGCAAATACATCAACTGCTTTGTGTATTGCCTGCGTGGCTCCAATGCAATAAAAGCTAACGCAGAGCGAGCCCTCAAATGGTGAATTGATTGTAAAGGTAAATGTCACTTTCCCCTCAGTAACAATATATGAAAGACAGAAAACAGCTGCATAGGAAAGAAGGGAGAGTTCAACCATCAAATGATTCTGACGTGTTAATTCATTTATTTATTTTTTAGGCCCTGCTCAGAAGATGCCGGCCACAGCCACAGCCTTGGACTTCTTCCAGCTCTTTGTCCCGGACAACTGCATCCAAACCATGGTCACCCAGACTAACATGTATGCCAAGAAGTTCCAAGAGCGCTTCGGATCAGACGACGGCTGGTGTCCTGTCACCGCACAGGAGATGAAGGCCTTCCTGGGCTTTGTTACCTCCACCAGTGTCCACCGCTGTGAGTCGGTGCTCAGCATCTGGAGTTCAGGCTTCTTCAGCAACCGCAGCATCGCCTTGAAGATGGGACAGGCGCGCTTTGAGAAGATCCTCAAGTACTTCCACATCGTGGCTTTCCGGCCATCACAGGGAAGCAACCAGGGCCTGTACAAAATCCAGCCCTTCCTGGAATCACTGCAACAGTCATTCAGCTGCACTTTCAGACCTTCACAGACACAGGTGTGTAAGTAGCAGCATCAGGGGTACTAATGGTTTAACACCCCTGGCTGTATGAAACAACTTTTAATGATTATCAAACAATAGTGAAAATGATTAGAGACACTTTAGGTTTAAATACAGGATAAAATAGATGCTAAATTTGTTTAATCAAAAAATCTGGTTAGCAGTTTAGGTACTGTTTCACTTTAAGCTATGGTTATATACACACACCTTTAGTCAGACAGCTAAGGAATTACCCAGATGTAAAATAAAAATGTAAAGGAATCAACTAAATATGTCCCACAAGGAGCCTCAGTTTGAAACCTGTCTACTCAGTAAGTATTTGGGTATTCCTAACAGTCCTTGCCTCCAGAAGACTTAGTTCAACTTGATTTCAGATGCACTGTTTGCATTAGATCTGCATTTATGCAGATGGGGCAGTGGAGCGCCTGCCTTGATGCTCTGCTTTGGGTGTTCTGGAGTTTATTCAACTCCAGCTTTTCTTTGTTGTCAGGATGAACAGCAGCACTGTAGAATTAGAAAGGACCCATAAATAAACAACCTGATTCTAATCAAACCAGCACCTTCATTGCTGTCTTGTTCAGCTTGATTACTGTATTAGTATGACTGCAGAACAAAGAAAAGTACTTAGACTTATACTCTACATTCATTCATTCATTTTTTTCTACCGCTTAGTCCCTGAACAGGGTCACGGGGGGGGCCGGAGCTAATCCCGGCCAGCAATCGGGCGAAGGCAGGGCACACCCTGGACAGGTCATCAATCCATCGCAGGGCTAATACATAGACAAACAACCACACACACACACACACACACACACGCACACGCACGCACGCACTCCTATGGGCAATTTAGAGACACCAATCAACCTAAGCTGCATGTCTTTAGACTGTGGGAGGCAGCCGGACCACACACATGCACTCCTATGGGCAATTTAGAGACACCAATCAACCTAAGCTGCATGTCTTTGGACTGTGGGAGGAAGCCGGAGTACCCGGAGAGAACCCACGCAAGCACGGGGAGAACATGCAAACTCCACACAGAAAGGTCTCAGGTGGGGCCCAAACCCGGAACCTTCTCGCTGTGAGGCAACGGCGCTAACCACTGTGCGACCGTGCTGCCCCTTATACTCTACAAATTGCTGAAAATCAACTTAAAATGTCTCTAATAACAATAGCAATCAGTGTTGTGACAGTAGGCTTAATGAAAAGAAATGATAGCATGTGATTTGCTAAATGTTCATGTCCAGGTTGACTTTGTCCAAAACAGCAGTGACGTATTAAAAAGGGTGCCATCAAAGTAAAAAAACAAAAAAAAACAAAGAGCAGTACCATGTTACATTCAGACTGCTGGGCCTGTTAAGAGCTTTTCTCTTTTAACTGCATGTTCTTCCATAAGAAAAGCAAACAGATCACCCATCATATTCAATATCTGCTCAGGAGGAGGCACCAGGGGTAGTTAATGTTATTCCACTGGGGCCATCCTGCAGCTGCCACTCTTAAAAATTAACAAATATGTGGGAGGCAGTGGATTAAAATGCTTGTGCACTTTCTAAATGATGTCTTTCATTGTGAAAGATGATGTCACTGCTGTGATGCTTTCGGGAACACAGGCCTCCTCATATCACATCCACATCTGATTCAGCTGTGTCATTTTACCATTAAAATCATAAAAATGTAGACGCCAATGTAATTGATGGTTTGGTGAAATCCATCCACTTAGCTCTAAAATGGTTGTAACAATGAAAGCACGCTGGTTGTCAGACAGCGTGCGTGTGTGTATGCGTGTGATTAGCAGTAGCAGAATACGTGTGTATCTAGGCCAGTTTGTTTTATCTGTTAGTTTCTGTGCCAGGGGCAGATACAAAGCCCAGATAATCAGAGACTGCAACTGTTGCTCCACATAGAGTGGAGAGGTAATCTGAGAAGCTGGGATAAGTGTTTGGCTTCTTCGCTTTGAAAAGAGCAAAGGTTGCAGAACATTTTGTCCGAATGTGAGCATCGGTGCATGACCTGGGTTTGCTTCCAATGAATATTTTTCAACAAGACACTGGGTGCGTATTAGCACTAATGTGTGAATATCAGTGCTGAATATTAGCAAGTTTTCTCATACTGTCAGCAACACTTCACAATTTCTGTGTCAGTCTGGCAGTTTTGCAGGAGCTAAGTGGGATCTGGTAACACTGCCTTGTATTGGTTTGCAAATGTAAAATCTTTGAGAGCATTTGTTACAGTCCCGACAGATCATCCACTGCAAAGACATCAACTGAGTGGATAGATTTTTCTCATTTCTTTGTCCAGTAGAGGATTAGTGTGAACCCGTGCAAATGATTTGAAGCATTCAGATGTAACTGCCTTGTTTCTGCAGCTAGGATCAGAAGTATCTGGTCACCACGAGAAGAAAGCTGCAGTAGCTAATGTCTAATATCTGGCAGCTACAAAGTAAGAAACTGCTTAAGGATATTTTTTAAAGGCCATTGTGGTTTGGGGGAAGTCATCCATCCAAAAACCAGAGAGCGTCATCAATTTTCCACTTATACAATCCACAATATTTGACTGGGAAATAATTTGTTGCTCCCTTCAGTTTCAGTCAAATCACAGTGGAGCTGGAGGAGGAGGTGGGGACACCAGAGGAAGAGAAATTTGAAATGCAAATAATTGCTGTGTTGGAAATATTAGGCCAGGTTTTAGGTCTTTTACACTGGTTTAATTCACTGAGACAGTGTTAGAAAGTCCCTTGTTGGTTGTGTGTGTTTCTTAATTTCATTGAGTGGAAAAATGTTTCTTCGATACCATCATTGTGAGGACATTTTGGCCAGTCCTCAGCTTCAGACAGCTGTTTAAGGGTTAAGACTTTGTTTTAGAATTCAGGTTAGAATTATGTTTAGGTTAGGGTCCAAAATGCAATCTTCACCTTTCCATTATGTGAAACAAAGTACAGTCTTATTTTTGATTAAAATATTAAATAACAAATGTTTACCAATAAATGTTGCAGGTGTATTTTCTGATAATCAACCGATAGCTTAATTGGCTGGAGTGCTTGCTTTAAAAGTGGAGAATCATACATATTTTAAACTGGCCTTGTTGTATTTTAATGCATTTCTTTTTTTCATCCTGTTTAAATTTTAATCAGTGTTCGCCATGCTTGGCTCAGCAAAGCTAAAGTTTTGTGTTAACTTCTTTGTCACAGACTTCTGTCTCCCAAGGGCTCGCTGAATTTACAGCATCACACACTCTATTAGAGGACGGTCTAAAGAGTTAAATGCCTATTCTCTATTTTTTTGCCACTTATTTCAAAGTTACACTCCTGCCCTGTCTATTCTGTATTTTGCCTACTTTTCATTGGGTTTGATCTGATGTTAGAGGAGTGAAGCATAGGACATGAAAGTACAGTCTTTACTTTGTTTTACTGGAGAAGGAGATGTAGACAGATATTCTGCAGGGGATAACATGAATGCAAAAATGAAGGACAAAGCAACAACTAAAACAATAGGAGAAAAAAGTGAAACTAGCAACAAAGACATGTTCTGCTGGGCTCTGCAGACAGACTGCTGAGGCCACTGTTCTTCTCTCTACAGCATCACACACCTTTGGTTTTACCCTCTAACCCCATACAAAAACACTTTTTTCTGTTCCTTGTTAACACCTCTTGCGCTTTACTTGTGACGTAGTTATATAAAAACAAACTTAAGTTTACAGTAGCAGTGCTTCTGTGTTTGCAGGTTCTTCATGAGCCCTTGATAGATGAGGATCCAGTGTTCATCACCACCTGTACAGAAAGAGAACTGAGGAAGAGGAAGAAGAGGAAGTTCAGCCTCTGGGTTCGGCAGTGCACCTCCACCGGATTCATCTGTCAGGTAGCATCACACATCTCAGTATTTGTGTGTGTGTGTGTGTGTTTGAGAGAGAGAGAGAGAAGCAGGAGCTTGTTAAATTGTTTCCTTTGGAGATAAAGTGACAACTACCAGTTGGTTCAGGTCTGATTTGTGTGTGAAGAGAAGCAAGAGAGAGTGAAGTAATGAGAGAGAGAAAAGTGTTTGAGTGTTTGCTTTGAGGGATTTTTTAAAATTTCATTAGCTTCTATACTTCATGACAGGAGTCTAATATTTATGCCAGAAGTGTAAGAAAAAGTCTTCTTTCATGTTTTCATGAAGATATGAGGTTTTAATCTTTGCCTAATTTCATCCTCAGGTTGTCAATATTGCATCATTTTTGCAATGAGTCAAATACTTATCAACACTACAAAGAATACATTCACATTTCATTAATTCATTGTGAACATTTGAAGCCTTTACATGCAGAAATAGCTGCTGCCTCAGGATCACATCTGTGTTGACACATCTCAAGCAGGCAGCACTGCTCTGCTCGCTGACAGCCTTGTCCTTACTGCAACCCTTCCACTCCTACACCGGTTGTTTACATAACACCATTTAACCAGGGCCCAGTACTACAGGAGGACTGACAGATCTGTCCGGTTACAGAGGTCATTACAGAGGTGAAAAAAACAGAAACCACAACTGTCAAACTGTTTTGTATAGTTCTATTGCTGACAAGTGCTGTTGGCAACCTCTGAACTTGCTAGTATTTGTGCTACCTGATGCCCAGTAAAACTGTCTTCCTCCAGACTGAAGGTTGTTTAAACGATTACACTTTTCACAGTATGGATACTGTGCAGGTCTTCTGCAGCTGAACTAGCAGGAAAATAAAGTCTCTGCTAAATACACAACTTTTTTTTTTTTTTACACAAATCACTGTCATAGGTTGTTATAGAGGTGTTTAGTACATCTACATAGAAATCTTCAACCCAGAATCTCCAGAGTGAACAAACTATACTGAATGATCATTGTCACTGAACTCAATACGCATACTAGTGACTCAAAGCACCAGGTTGCAGCTCATGTGATGCTCAGTATATTACTTACTTGTTAAAAGCCTATTGGAGGCCGTGAAAACCTTGGAAACAATTTAATGTAATAACTAATGCAATAAATGCCTGCTGAGCTGACGACCTTATAAGCCGTAGCAACAGACTGAATGTACTAACAGACTGTGATGCATTCACCTACTGTTGTGTACTGTAGTGCATTTGAATGGGGATGACCACATGTTTATGGACAACCTGCACTTAGTCTTTTTTATCCTTAGCTCTCTAGCTTATCTACATGTCTAGTACATGATGCCTAGTACATTATAGTATATGTATATAAATGGCCTGAGATCTGAAACAAAATAAAGAAATAAATTTTCTTGGCCAGGTTTGAGAATGACCTTACAAATCAATCAAGCTTTTGGAGAGACTGGGTAGGCAGTAAAACATTGTAATGAAAGAGCTTTTCACTGCAAGAAGCCATAATTACAAAATTACATTATTGGAGAGAAGAGCAACCACAATCAGAATTTTGATTCGCCAGATTTTATTTTTTTATGTCTGATAAAATTACTGGGGAGCGCCTTGTTAACCGAGTGGTTACACAGCACGCCATATAACTGCAACATCCATGGTTAGATTCCGGCTGGGGTCCTTTGTTGCATGTCATACCCCTCTCCCCAGTGCTTTTTGTCTGCACCTGTGTACAAATGACTGTTAAATAAAATAAAAAATAACTGATAATAAATCTAACCAGTCACTTTTGTAGCCCAGATTTTCTGGTAACAACAAGCTTTGTGCAAGTAGCATCACACATTTGGTAATGAAAAGACATTTCATTATCTCATTCATTTAACAAATACATAATCATTAGCATTCACACTGACTGACCATTTGGCAGTCCCTCGGTTCTTAACGTTGTACACTGATGTGTGTCTGCACTGAGATCATCAGTCTCTAAATGAATTGTGTTAAGGGAGAGGAAAAAAAATTCTAAGAGATAAAATGAGACAAAGCAGTCGATCAATGACAATCCATTAGCCAGTGCACCACACAGGGACACACAAACACACACACAAGGACTGACCACTTAGTGTAACAGCTACAGGCCCGATGTAGATGCTGGCTAATCAGGCTAATGCTCCTGAGCAAAAATGAGTGTGTGAAGCGACACTGGACTGTTTGCAGGTGGACACTTATGTTTGTACTGTATATAGATACATTCTTCTTCGTACTTCTAAACAGAACTTTTATCTTCAAATGCACTATGTGTATTGAGCTATTAAGCACAGCTCAGCCTGCCCAGATCCAGTCTTACCTCTACTGGTAAGACTTCAAATACATACAGTAGCTGAATTAGATTCGAACCTAGAGGATAAATTGATACTTCAGGGAAACCTGAAATAAGGTTTTCTGTTTAATGCCCCCACCCCCACTCTGCAGATCTCAGTTCATCTGAAGGACGGCCAGGGTCCAGACGGTCTGGCCCCCTTGAAGCACAAACCTCAGCTCCACAGCCTTGTGGCCAAGCAGCTCTGCCAGAACATCTCTGGCAAGAACACCATCATCTTCACCGGGCCATCCATCACGAGCCTCAGCCTCTTCACCGAGTTCAGTAAACAAGGTAAACAAACATTTTTAGTATACTTGCAAAACGAGTATTCAGACTTGTCACAGCTAAAGAAATCATTAAGTAGAGTGGAGATTTTAGTGGACACACAGGTAAAACTGTCAGACTATGTCATTTTCATGCTCATTACACCACAGGTGTCTTTTATTAGGAATATATAATCCAGTTGTGGTAGCACATTTGAGTTGTCTTCAGTGGCCTGTTTTTGTCTTTCTAAATAATAGATGTGGGACAATATCATAGGCTAAAAATGAAAGCAAAGAACAAATATTCAACCGAACAGCCTGAGCTCCTTTGTCGATATCATCAGCACAGTGTGAAATGTGAAATGGTTTTATATTCCTCTTACCACAAATGTTTTCTCACCAAACCATAATAGAAGAGCAAACTGGGCAGAGCTGCAGTACTGCAACTAAAGAAAAACAAGCCCAGAGATATGATCGATAGTTTGTCCTCCTAACTGGGTGAAGATACCACAAGGCATTTTGCTGGGGGGTAAAAAAAAAAAACTCAGTTCTGAGCTTGAGAAGATAAAGTCCATCATTTTTCTTTCAAATTTATCTTACTGGGTGACTTAAAGTTAGTTACCCTGCACTACTGTGCACACTCACAAACATACTACACAGATACTGTAGCCGTCAGCTACATGACTGAAGAACAGTGTACAAAAGGCGGAGTGAATTCACAGGAGCTACTGCAGGGATGAAAGAAGTTAGAGCTGAAGCTAACAATTGATTTTTCCAACTAACTATTTATTTGGTCTACAAAATACATGACACGGTTTCCTGAACCACTAACTGGTGCTGTGAAACTGTTTGTTTAGTCTAATAATCATTTAATTTTTAGATATCTACTGCTGTGGTCTGCTGAGCACCAGGAAGAGCGACTGTACAGGCTTACCACAAAGCATGCTGGTCTGTGGGTCCACGCCAGCGCAGCGAGGCCAGTCACGGGTGATGATGAAAGGCAGCATGTCACTGATCAGCTGGTACAACAAGGGACACTTCAGGTTCCTCACCAACGCTTACTCCCCAACAACACAAGGTAAATAAAAAGCAGTTTTCTAAACAGCATCTTTACATCACAATAAATGTCTTTGTATATGCTACACACAATTTGCATAAATCCACAAAATTGATCTATTAGAATTGTAGAAAACCATAAATGAGGCATGATAGTTGAAAAGCCATTAATCTGAGTTTCTCAGAGGAAATAAGATTAGCTGTCATTTCAGGATGTAAGTCACTGTCTGGTGAAAATGACACATTGTTCAGCAGTCATGTGAGGGGAAATCAATTTTAGCTTCTGCTTCCAGGAACTACTCTGATGACAGACCCTTCGTCTTACAGCACAATCCTCTCTTAATTAAAAGAAGGTTTTGTTAGGTTTTAAACCTAGATGAAGGGCCACAGTCTGTGTTTGAGCGTGTGTTTGTGCTCTTCGTATAACAAGCGCAGATGCGGCGCCCCCAGATCAGTTAATCCATCACTATGCAATATTGATTTTCTTGCCCCTTTGTGTCTGAGTGGGTGTCTGTGAGTTTGTGTGTGAATGTTTTCCACTCTACACTTAAAGGAGAATAAAATATGTGCCATCAATAATCACTTAGCAATTTATTGAAGCTGTATCAAATGTGTGACTGTTATGTAGCCTAATTTTATATAATTAACTCTGTGGTAGACTCAAAAGAAGGTCTGCACTTGTGAGATCAGTTCCCCTGACCCCACAAGTATAAACACATCTACTCAGTTTAGCCTGACCAGATACATACAGACTGATCACTAAACATTTGGATTATAACACGAGTCTGGTCTTCGTTCACTATTTTAAGGAGGTATTGTAGATACAAAATGAAGCTGATTTTGGCAGAATGTCCATGAGAACTTCAGTGTTCCCAGCACAGCTGAGGCATTTTTATAGAGCAACGACAGTCTAGGAAAGGGGTATTGTGCACACTGGCTTACTGGGACTTAAATGAAACAGTAAATGCAGTGAAAACTCCTCTCAGAGATGAAAAAATGAAGAGACCTGGAAAAAAAAATAGTAATGAGGTACACCTGAGCAGCCTCCCTCCCCTGTCTGGTTGTTGTCCAGGTGACCACACAATCTGGGGAAAATGGGTCTCCTGAGTGGGAAGTCGTTTCTCTACCGCTTTATCTCTCACTCTGTTTGCTGGATGTGTGTGCGGCAGGTATGATCATTAAGAGGAAAAGTGGAGAGATCCCGTGTCCTTTGGCTGTTGAGGCCTTTGCAGCGCACCTCAGTTACATCTGCAAATATGACGACAAGTACAGCAAGTATGTACGACATTTTCAAAAACAGCAATTGGTTGAAGACAATACAATTACTGAATTACCTGCTTTCTTGCAGTGGTTCCACGGTGACTGGGAGTCTAATTCAGTCCTGTGTTAGACATGATATGACGTATTCTTCCCTTAAAGCATGAGTGTGTACCTTGTGGAATAAGACTCATTCTCTTACAAATGAAAAGTTCAGCTTATAAGCAATAAATCACACCCTTACACATTTTAATAATCTCGTGGTTCACAGGTACATCTCATCTTGATCTGTATTACCATTGGCCGATGGTGACTCATGTTTAGACACTTAGAAATATCCTGTAGTGAATCCAACATAATGATGATGCCTTTGCAGCAGCTTGCTCATTAGAATTTGGGCCAATTTTTGACACTTGTACTAAAGTGGTGCTTAACTAAAAAGTTACACTGGGTTGTTTTTAAATATATTATTTATAGTTGAGAGTTAACGTCATTCATTTACTAGAAAATTTGTGAATCGAAACTGTGGAATACACTAAGCAGCTATGTTTCTCCCACAGATACTTTATCTTCCATAAGCCTAACAAGACCTGGCAGCAGGTGTTCTGGTTGAGCATCAGCATCGCCATCAACAATGCCTACATCCTGTATAAGATGTCTGACGCCTACACGGTCAAACGCTACAGCCGAGCACAGTTTGGAGAGAGACTGGTCAGAGAGCTGCTGGATCTAGACGACTGCTCCCCCACGCAATGAGGACGGAATAATGAAAAGGAGGAGGACAGCAGGAGCGCACACACAAACACAGTCCCCACACGTACATTTACACTCTTCTTTTCGGTCATACAGACTCCACAGTCTGTGTCTATGTGATAATACTGAGTCAGTGCCAAGCCTATGTCTCCCTTCCTCTAGTGTTTTTTGTGGTACTGTAGATATTTGTTAACACATGATTGCACACCACACAATAGAGAATCGTGAGCCATGGAGCAGTTCACATTCCTCAACTGCAACCGCAGAGATTTACTAAGGATTTGTCAGCAGGAGCTATTTCACAAGCAGAGATGAAGCCAAACTGGAACGAATTCACTCCTTCATGATGTCAGCTTCACGCGCTAGCTCTTGTCAAGTGGTGAAATTATTGATATGAGCCTGGACCTTCTGTGTGAGTGTTCAAACATCTGCTGATCAGGCTAAAAGGCTGCACATAGGTTGATATTTACACTCTCCAAAAACACCTGCGGCACTAAAACAAAAGATTAGTGAGCCTGGACTGTGGTGTGTTCACATGCTGCATGCATAAAGAATCTGGATCGTGATGTTCTCTTGTTCAATGTGAAAATGATTTTTGCTCCAGGTGGGTTTTGAAATTTGTGTGTATGTATTTAACTAGTGCAACTGCCATTTGTGTGTGTGACACTGAGCCTGATGATGTAAATGTATGGCTATTGTGACCCTGATGTGTTGTGTTGCCGCACACTGTACTCGCTAAAGGAAGGCTGTCAAATGACGTAAAGCCACACCCATCAGTGTGCCACAAATTTCATTCTTAGATTTTATTTATTAAGAGATCAACACGTCACTCGTACGTGCACACAAGGCAAAACGCTTGGACTTTGTCGTGGATGCTTTGGTTGTAAAATCTCTTGACCTGCTCCATCCTGATTACTGTCAGCAGCAAACTACAAGTAAAACAACAGTTGTGGGTTTTTTAAAATGATTGGTGTATAACAGTACTGCGGGGAATGCTAGCATGCTTGACCAAGTAGCATTCAGCACTGCGAACCCCACCCTAAATCATTCCTGAGCTTTCAGAAAGTTCTACCCTACGAGCAGAGATTTCTTGGGGATAAAAATAACTCCCTGGAACTTAATTTAAACTTGGTTCCTCTTCCGGAAGGTCATGTTGTAGATCCTCAAAGGTTTCCAGTTCCACCTGGGAGGAACGTTTGTGTTCATTTAGAATCACAAGAAGCTGATTTTTAAAAAATGGGGTTTCAAAAAAAAAAAAAAAATCTGCAGCATACCAACAACACTTACATTGCCAGACAAACTTGTCATGCTTGTACTTTGTATTTGTACTGTTTGTACTTTGGCTTTGCAGGGCAGAACATGTTCAAAATCTCCTTGATTGCATGTTCAGTAAGCCAGGGTTGCTAAGCAACAAGTCCAATCTTGGCAAGCGGGCAGGAGTTTGGATAATTTTGCTTGGCAAGATTTAGGCTGAAGAAGTAAAACCCGAATCTCTGGTGGCTTATGAGATGCCCCAGAAAACCAAATCCTAATGTAGATACAAGGCTTTGGAGCCAGTTACTTGCTTATTGACGGTCTCAAATTGGTGTTATGACAAACTCCAAAAGTAAACACTGATGTCCAATAACTGTGCAATTATTTGATGATTAAAAAACATGGATAGTTGCTATTAATAAGAACATACAAGTAATAATAGCGGTGGATATACAGTTTATTTTAGTCTTTAGAGTAATTGAATTGCAGCTACCTTCAATGTCTGAAATGTAAGGATGGATGCGTTTTGGACAATTATTGTTAATGTTCTTCCAGTGACACATTTCCTGCCAGGTAACAGACTGAGACCTGCCAGTAGAAGTGTGAGCAGTGAGAGGTGAGCATTTATCTGCACTTACTGTCTTCAGACCACACTGCTGTCTGTAGCTTTAATGAGGATTTCAGACCTGTATGCTTTGCTTAATGCAGTCAGAATGTTATTGTCCTGCTGTAGTCGTGTTAAGAAGTTTTTAAGTGAAACGTTCTGATGTGTGTTTGCTCCATTGGCATGGTTTGATGTGTGACTGGGTAATATAGTGAGATGACAGTCTTTACGCTGACAGGGCAAAGTGGCCGAGTGATGTGCAGGCAGGACTAATGCACTTTCCCCCATCACAGTCTCGCACTTTGAGAAAGGTTGTAAAGTTAATAACACATTTATTAGATTATCATTTTAGTTTTCAATTAAACCCAATGATAATACACAATGTTCAGAAATATGTGTAGAATATGAAACGATATGTTCTGTAAATATACATAGATAAATGAAATGGATGGATATACATTTATGTCAATGGAATACAACTAAAAGTAATGAGAGTAACCAAAAAAGAAATTATTTACATTGTAGGTTTAAAGTACAAGGTACAGTACGTATGTGCATATTTTATTTAGAAATGTGTGTATATGTGTGTGTGTTTCCACTCTCTCACTTAGTTTCAGGATTGTGTATTTTTTAACTTTTTCACCGACCCCAAGCCTCGTTGTTGTCATGGATGCTTCTGTGTGTGTGAAACACTGAATGTTGTCATGTTTCTAATCACTGTTTGCCTCAAAGTAGCACTCTTAATCTTAAAAGACACCTTTGTCTTGTCTGTCAATGCATGTTTTAATACAGCATTTGATATGGTCAAATTGGGTCTTACTGTTAAATTGGAGCACAGCTGTGGCCATTGTAGAAACACATTCTGTCCCTTAGTATACATACCAGTACTTTGGTAATTCAAGTAAAAATCCCCACTACTTAAAACCCAAGTGTGTTTTCATCCATCTGTTTTTATGCACATTTTAACATAAAAATGACTGGAAATGCCTTTTCAAATTAATACAACAAGCAGAAATGCAACAATTCCTTCGCATTTTCAACAGATTTTAATTACATCATCCTGCTTTTTCTGCAGTGACTTAATGGCACCTGACTGGATAACTAGTGCCACCACTTGTTTATTATGTCAGTGGGCCCAGCTCCCGATGATCGCATAACTGGTGGAAAGAAATACACATTCTCATTTTCCCTTGATGGATTTCTGTAAATTCACTAAACACGTTGCTAAATTTGGATGGAAATGTGACTAATCTTGACACTATTTAAAGAGTAACTTAATATGTTGCTGGATAGCTGACATTTAACAATCCTACAGGTTGAAATCCATTGCACAGTATGTAAAGACAGAGAGACCAGTTTCCCCACTGAGACTTCCAGTATGGCAAGTCATGCTATACTCTGAGTAATGGGCATGGATGCAGTCATTGCTAACTGCAGCAGAAATAGACAAAGCAGGCTGATGGAGATTGAATACAGCAGAAAAGTACAATCTGGCTCTTCAAAGCAAAATGACCCCTGGGCTACACCACAAAACGGTGAAGCACCTACAATATAACTGCCAGATGTATCCTAGAATGAATATGTTCCTTATAGTGTGCCATTTGTGTAGAAAAATGGTTAACAAATCTGCAGACTCTGGCGGTCTCACCCAAGCCTCACACACACACACACACACACACACACACACAGCTTACGACTGAAATGGCCTAGAATGTGTGTGACATCTGCGGAGGTTTTGATGTAGTGGCTCTGTTGCTTAGCTCAGAGCACAAAGGAATTCTGCCCAGTTACTTGGCAGCAAATTACATATGACTGTATGTGTGTGTGTGAGAGAGAGTAATATGGGGAAGTAATTTAAGTTTCTCTGCCCTTATAGTAATGTTATCACTCTGGTTACAGACTGTTGTGGTTTCCTCTTTATCATTCATCATAAGAGGGGGGCTGAGGATCCACTCCAGTGATACTTGAGCAGGGTTACATTTATCCCAGCTCAAACATATGGTTTTGTTTTAAATTCTTAGGTTAATCACTGAAGTAATTTTAAAAAAAAACAGTCACTATAATTATTCCATTAAGCTCTCTATTGATCAGATAGTTTCTATAGTGCCTTTTTGCAGTTGTTTCATGTTGTTTATGTCCTGAAGTGAAGTAGAACAGCACAGATTAAAGATTTTAAAGAGTTGGTTCAAACAATTTGAATTTGGCCAAGGCCCTGCTTTGCATAGTGTGAATAACAGAGACTATAGAAATAAATCTACCACCTTCACATTAGAGGTTTAGATGCTGAAAATGTTCTATGCAGCCCTATGCCATTTTCCCACCGCTGTATAATGACTCAAGTATTAGTTCACATTTGCCACTGGAAGTCAACAGTACCATTAATATGAGTTCCAAAACATTCATAGGTCCAAATAAAACATCTGTGTATAAAGAAAAACAAGTGATGGATGTTAGTTTTGTTTTGCTTTACATGGGTAAGCTTCTGTGTAGGATGTTGGAATGCCCACAAAATCAGAAAGTTTAATATCCAAACACCAGATTTATAAGTATAACCAATAATATAAAAAGAAGAGAAATGTCACTTTGATGGGTCTTACTACAACAGTGTGGACATGTTTCTCTTTGTTTTCTATGTTGTCTTCTTATGCAAATAGCTGAGATGTTTGATTTTTTTTATTTGTTTATTCATGTCAGATGTGCATACACCCTTTTGCACATCTGGGTGTGAACTAATGCAGATGGGAAGGAGCGAGATAGGGTAAAAGGGTTTTTTCTTTTTTTCAGTTTAATTTATTCTAATAATGACTCCAAAACATTCATGGCTTGTCAGAAATTTCGAATTGTCACAAAAGATGCTATGAAATTAATCAGACTCACTGTTGGTTGTTTTGTCATAGTGATAAGCAGTTGTGTGTAAGATGATGCTCATGTGCTATATGTGGTGTACCGTATGTACCAGTGTGTTCTGTACAGGGCTTCACAGATGTCTGCCATTATGAGTGAGGCAGCAGTGAAAGATATTTAAATGATTAGCTTTGGATGCGATAAAGAATTCAAATGGCTAATCTCAGGGCTGCATAATTATCAGCTGTACAATATATTTATGTACTGAAATAATATACATATGCTACATGGGCTTCTATAACCTTATCAGGTGCTATCAAACCACTGTACACATAATAGCTGAATTAGATTTGTATTTGTAGGGAGCTCAGCAATCAAATAGTGAACATATGCTGCAGGAGTTGTACCACTATTAGGTTCTGCTTTTTGTAACAGTTTGTAACGGTGGTTGCAGGTTGTTGAATAACCAGATACTGTGTTAAACTACTGTTTAGTTTCACAGGAGGGCCAGAAGGATGTGTGTATATGCATGGATTGTTAAATGCTGGATTGAGTAAAATATAAAAAATTACTGGTGTACGCTGGACCAAATAACTTTCTAAAGTGGTGATACAAGGCTATTGTGTAAATGTCATTTGATTTGATTTGATTTGATTCTTTTAAGCATGTAAAGACAGTTGATATGACAACACACATAATTTTACACATATCCAACAAATGCTAATCCAATATCAATTTGCTTATACCTAGTACATGCTTGAATGGAGTAGGAAGAAGTCAGACTTATCCAGTCCTACCCCATGACATCATCTTACCATCATTGGTTTACAAGCAGTATCTCTACATAAATAATTATCTTCTACACCACACAAGTAATATACTAAAAAATTATAACAG